TGTCAATCGTGATCGACGGTGTATTCTCGTTACTTATCATATGGTGTACTTGTCACGATCAAAAAAGTAAAAAACATAATTGTAGACCTAACACTAAAAACATCAACGAAAAAAACAACAAACTAACCAAATATATCGCGAAAATAAGATCATAAAAAAAACTAGTAAATACTTCAAACTTTTTCTTGCCGATTTTCTTGATGACTCCATTGTGGCGGTTTAGGAGGGGGCGGACCGCCGATCTATCCTCCTCCTTTGCTAGCTCGTCATCTACGTCCACAGTGAGACCTTTGTTCTCCTCCTCTAGGACCATTTCTTGATAGACATGTATCAAAACCTCCATTGTTACCACGGGTGATTGTTGTGTTCGTTCCAGAACTCAGAGAAAACTCTCGTGCTTGTATTTTCCGTAATCCCAGAAAATAAAAAACAAAATCAGACTGCACTGTGAAATTGGCAGAGAAGCAAATCCTATGCTGCTATGTGAGGGACATCCATGAAGAAGCTATAGACGAAGACGAGACCCTGGTCGCAAAGAATTCTACATGAAAGTAGATAGACGGCTGCTAGGATTTTTTTGCATCCGTTTAATCATTTCTCGTTATCTCAGTTGTTGAGAAGAGATGGTTAACTTGTGTTGAAATCAATGTTCTAAAAGGCGTTAGGCGCTAGGCGGGCGCCAGTCCAGCGCCTAGCGCCTAGGCGGCTAGGCGGGCGCCTAGTCGGGGACTAGTCGGAACTAGGGGTGGGCACAGTCTGGGACGGAACGGGACTTGGGTTGTCCCGGTCCCGAACCCGTTTTACAATAACGGTTCGGAACGGGACGGGACAAGACGTTGTCCCTTTGTTGTCCCGTTTAAAACCGGTACCGGGACAAAACGGGACGGTTCGGGACATCCCAAAAAATTGTAGTCAAACAATTTCAATCCAAAAACAAAACAAAGCTATTTGAAAAAATTAAAAAAAAAACTAGCGCAAGAAAACTCTATGACAAAAAAGCTATAGCTAATATAGAAAATTGTGAGAAAAAAATGCAACTTACCAGATTAGCTGCATGAAACAAAAGTTACAGCAGAAAAAACTATATCACAAAAATCTATCAAAAATCTATAATAAAATGATAAAAGAATACTTTGAGAGTAAAATCAATTTCTTTTTTTTTGTAGACAGATGATAGTTCATAGTATGTTATAGTAGGTAGTTTAGAGTTTTTTAGGTGTTATATTATTAATCAACTAGTATTTAATAATCATTTGTATTTGGGTTGTGAAAAAAGAATAACTATTATTATTTGGATTACATAATGAGTTGTTAATAAACTCTCTAACCTACTACAAAGTAATACGTACAATTTTGGATTCGGGGCAACGGGACGGAACGGGATATATTTTACTTGTCCCGGTCCCATTTTGTTTTAGAACGGTTCAGGACCGGTACAGGACAAAAATAATGTATCCCAAATATAACGGGACAATTTTGGGACGGAACCGGAACATTCCGGAACGGACCAACGGGACCGGGTCTTTTGCCCACCCCTAGTCGGAACATAGAAATTGCATTTTTATCTCTATTTTTGCATAAATATGATAAGTAATATTGTATTCTAGTGTGAATAAAATACATATATACACATACATTAACAAACATGAATGATAGAATTATCACATTTAATCAAACAGAGTATATGATAACTAAACACTTATATGGGTAAAATTTAGGTATATATACAAACATATATAGTCTTTATCTTAATTTACTAGTTCATTTCTTTATATCTGTGGCTAAAATTAAATTAAAGTACTTATATCGCTTAGAAAATTAAAATTGAGAAGTAAAGTAATGTTCGACGAATCTAGACGGTCTAGGCGGCCGATTAGGCGCTCTGGGCGGGCAACTAGGCGCCATAAGCGGCCGACTAATTCACCTAGACAACAAACCAATTAGTCGTAGCGCCTAGACGAAAATCGGGGCGTCCGGCCACCGCCTAGCGCCTAGGCGGGGAATAGTCGGACGCCTAGACTTATTTTTAGAACAGAGGTTGCAATGATATGATTGAGTTATTATAGGTTATTATAGATTTTGGGTGAAATTGTCATATACTAGGTACATAACAAATGTTTCCTTAAGTCATGGAAATATAACTTATAAACAGAAATATTACTAAAATAATAATGCATAGTTACTATGGGGTAACAGAAATATTACTAAAATAATAATGCATAGTTACTATGGGGTAGAGTTGAATACAATTATAGCTGCTGAAAAATATTATGACTGTTACTAGAGTATAAAAAGTCATTCAGGGGGTGTTTGGATCTACTTCATAAAACTGGTTCTGATCCTTCAGATAGCCGTAGCAGATATTGGAGTGTTTGAGTAAAAGTGTAGAAGTACTTTTGAACGCTCCAAATTGCTCCTATAAGCATTTTTGGAAGCTGGAGGACACCAGCTCCAGAAATTCAAATTCTGTTTCTGCTTTCAAAATACAAACAAAAACATCATCAATTCCAAACATCTCTTATATTATACGAAAGTACCATACTATGGTAGTATTTAATGAAGAGATAACAATAAAATATTTTAAAGATTTGTCATATAAGTGTACATCTATTCAAATTTATTTTTATAGTAAAATGTATGGAGTATGTGACATATTTGAGTATTTAATCAAGAAAGAAAATCATTTCAAAATTATTTTAGAAAATTACAAACCAAATATCAAATGACACTATAGACATAAATATGATTATAACTTATTTTAAAATGTAATGTGTATTTTTTAAATGCTTACTAAGTTTTAACATAATTTCATTATTGTGAAGACTAATTAGCCTTTATTTTAATTTTATACTCTATTATTATATGTTAAGACAAATCTTCATGTCAGGCCGGCCTGACGGGATGCTCCGTCCGGCCGAGGGCATTTCGGGCACTTCCCGGTGGAATTTTTTGATGAAAATTTTTGAGCATGTTCTTCATGAAGTATAGTTTATCCATACCAAATTTCAGCTAAAAATTCAATCGGGAAGGCACACAAATAATTTCTTGAAGTTTACTAGGCAGTTCATACATATAAACTGCCCAGTTAACTTCAAGAAATTATTTGAGTGTCTTCCCGATTGAATTTTTAGCTGAAATTTGGTATGGATAAACTATACTTCATGAAGAACATGCTCAAAAAATTTCATCAAAAAATTTCACCGGGAAGTGCCCGAAATGCCCTCGGCCGGACGGAGTATCCCGTCAGGCCGGCCTGACATGAAGACTACTCTATATGTTAAGTGCTACTGTATAAAATATATAAATGTTGATCGGGTTTTCCGGCATTGACCGGGTTGACCCGTGACCCAGTCACTAGGTCAGGTCGATCAACGATCCGATTTTATTCAACATAGCAAATTACTTGTAGAGTTGTGCTAGGTGTACACATTTTTGTGTACACTCGTCTTTTTTACGTACAAAAAATGTCTGTCCACAGAGTTGTCTATGGACAGACAATTCTTTGTGCGTGAGATAGACGAATGTACACAAAGTATTTTTTGTGTGCTCTTGATCCCGTTAGACCATTTGGAGTGGTGTGGGAGTCCAAATGTTAAAAATGGACTTCGTCCATGTGAAAACAGTGTTTTGACTCATATTTCTCTGCATTCCAGCACCGTCAATAAAATGCACCCTGCACGTTTTTTTACATATCAATTTAGTAAAACATTAATTAAATTATTATAAGTAATGTTTTCCTTTTAATTTTTTCTTTGATTAATTATAAAATAAAAAAGACACATTTCGATGTGAAAATAAATAAATTTCATTAATATATATATATATATATATATATATATATATATATATATATATATATATATATATTTTACGTTTTTGGATGAAGTGAGTTTAAACATATTGGAGCATTGAAGTGAGTTCAAACACATGGAATAAATTAAAATAACAAAACATGGAATTTAAAATTGAAACATACGTGAAATTCATCAGGTTGTTTATATAGGATTTTCATACAAAATATTAATTAAAAATAATGGAAAAATAAAATAAATTATTTTAACCGTCGGATTTCAATTTCAGCTGTTGGATCAATTGTTTTCCCCGTTTCAAACAGTGTCCAAATCATCACAGCCATTGGTTCGACCAATATTTTTTTTTAAATAAACAAGTTTGTGGGTGCTGTGTGACACTATCACAATGTCAACATGACATCATCTTGTGCAAATAATTCCTGCGCACAGGGGCCACTTGGTCTCTTTCTCCCTGCGCACAACACATGCGCTGATGCGCCGCCCCCACTCCCCTTACTATATTTGATTTACTATAAAACTGTTTAGGGGCTTGCATGCCTATGTTGTTGACCGGTTGTGGTTTATGACTTACCGTTGAATATTTCCGCTATTCATTAGTTTAAATGTGAAGTTGTTATGTATGTTTACTAATGAGTATAGATGAATTGTTTTCTCAAATGCCTTGTATGATTAAGTGAGGCTGTGTTTTCTCAACACACCCTTCAAATATAGCCCCTCCATCCCCTTCTCCATTTTTACTCTCCCATATAGCCAACCACTACAAGGAATTAAGAGTCCAAAAATTCCACTTTTAGCATTGGACTCCTAATCCTACACCACTCCAAAAGGTCTTATGGCCTGGTTCTAAACCATCATTCTGGTTTCACATCAGTTCCGATTACTATTCCAATTTAAATATTCAATTTAGCCCATTTTGTGTCTCTAGACTCTAATGGTAAGAAATAATCGAATACCAAAACAGGCCCTACTCATGTATTTATGTTGCATATTCTTTTTACGTTGCATAATCTCTAATGGTAAGAAATATTCTTTTTAGAGAACCTAAAGATGTCAAAAAACCATACAAAAGAGACATGTTTTTTAAATTTCTAAACTTGAAAAAGAAAAACTATTTGTAAAATAAATAGGAGAGATGCCCTCTTGACCCCCTCACTTTCTTCGCCACGGCTACCAAACACATCATACACAGACAACTTCAGCATCATATGCATATTAGTATATGTTATTAGGAGGTAGATCGTGTGTCATTCAACTAACACAGCACAAAGTTGAGATGATATTAGACTAACAAAGTAAATAAGAGAAGTACATGAAAGGCAGAGTAATAAAGCAAAAAACTTAGTAATTCATAGTCACAGTATATTCAAATAACAAGCCCTTCCAAAATATCCTACCACAAGAAGTCTAAGTTGGGAAAACTAGACTGCAACAAGAGCAGAAATCTCGAGTGTAGACAGGAGCTGCATAAGATGAACCATTTAGCAGTAACCTGCATGGATAAAATAATACAGTAAGCAAACAAATAGCACAATGTTAAATATGCAATGCTCATGCCAAGCACAGACTTGCACAAAAAACGAAAAAAAGAGTACCCTCTATTTGGGATTTCGGAGGACAATGATCACAGAATCTCCACGAAGAAACATCTTGCTGATGAACCTATCCTTATTAACAGGTTGGGCTTTCTTTTTCCCTTTTCCAGTTTTGGGAACCTGCAGAGAAAATGAAGACATAAAAAAAAGCAAAACAACACAATTGAAAGCATTTAAAAATCAGTATAGAATAAGATACCACCTCAGTCCACATCTCTCTAACATTTTCGAGCACCATGTTGCAGTGGCGATCAAAAGCCCTCACACGGCCTAGAAGCTTTCTGTTATTACGACAGTTGATGAGCACCTAAAATCCATAAAAAGTCAAAATCATTTCACAGTTCTAGAAAAAATGTTTCGGATAAACTTTTTAGGATGGCTTTGTTTTATTTGGCAATAGGCTTGAAAAATATTTCAATTATCATTTAAGTTGTATAGTACCTGTGTATTGTTTCTGACACTCATCATGAGAACAGAGAGTGGCCCTGTGTTGAATTCCTCTTCCTCATTCTTTCCCTGTTAAACACATTTGCATAAACAAAGATGTACACAGTTTTAAAAGGAAAAATGAGTTTTCAACTTGATATGAAAGAAATAAGGAACATACACATGTAACACTAAAAATAAATCAAGTAGACAGACGAATGGTTTATTTGGTGGTTATGCATCAATCATGCTTGTCACGGCGGTAAGTCGAGTCGCGGCGCCACCTGACCGCCATATCGCCTAGGCGACAAGGCGCCCGCCTAGGCGACAAATAGGCGACTAGTCGCCTATACGTGTATATTATATAATATATTATATATATAATTATATATTAACATATTTAATTATATTTTTACTTATATATTATGTATAATATATTACTAACTAAAATGTATATAACTTAGAATTGAAATCCACAATTAATAATTAAAAACATTATATCATATAGTTATACTCTGCGATAAGTAAAGCTTCTACAGAAAATAGATTAAACACTGTTGGATAGTTATATACTCTTATTTTAAAATATCTAGATTTTAAAAACACTGTTGTATAGTTATATATATTCAGAAGCCTTAGAAGTCGGGAACCTGCGAATCACTGCAATAGTGTATTTAAGAAAATAAGATACTGTTAAATATACTCTTAAATATACTCTGCGATATAAAAATATCTAGATTAAAATAGAAGTATCCGGAACCTGAGAACGAGAAAGTCGCATGCTACAGTGCTACTCTGCGACTTCGTCTTCTTGCTAGACTGCTTCCTGCGATGCTTCTTCGTCCGTATTCCGTAAGGTCGTAGCTCATAAGGTAACTATGGGCTTAGCTTTTTAATTAAAATCTGAAGCCTTAATTAAATCCTTAAAGGGCTTTAGCTTCCTAAAAACGAATGAAATTAGCTTCCTAAAAATAATTAAGGCCTAAATCTATTTTTCTTTTTAACTGGGTTTGGGAGTTCTGGCCCAGTTTTCTGCGACTTACGAATTAGGCGAGGAATCCGTCGCCAACACAACGACATGGCGACGACTAGGGGTGCAAACGAGCCAAGCCGTTCGTGAGCCACTCGTGGATCGCTCGAGAAAAACTCGACTCGAGTTCGGTCATATCCATGTTCGGCTCGAGTTCGGCTCGGCTCGTTTATTAAACAAGCTCGAGTCAAGCCTCTTTATTTTAGGCTCGTGGCTCGTGAGCCGGTTCGCGAGCTTTGATGTATGTGTATATAGATATATTATGTATAATGTATAATAGTTATATACTACGTATATAATATTTTTGGAATAGTTATTCTAATTTAGGGTTACTCAATTTTTATAATTATTATAGTATAATATAAATAATTAAATATAACATTATTTATTATTATAACTATTACCTATGTGATAATCGTAATATTCTATAAATAAGTATTAGTTTTTTCATTTGCTCACTGGGAATGAGGTTAAGTGTAGTTTGTCATCAATTTATGCACAAACGGGCAAGTAGGTGAGGTGGAGTTTGAATGCTAGGTTAACCCTACCAAACCTGGGTTCGAATCCCTTTGGTGGTAGGATTTTGTACTCCTTAGGTCTGATTCCTCCATTTGTTTTTCATTTATAGCTCTTATACTTCCCACACCGGAAAGTGAGGAGTTGTTTGCTCTCACATCCATCTACAAATCACCTCATCTCCATAGGATTTGTGCAGCACCAAGCGAGCTTCACGCCGGCACATTCTCGAAGGTTGCAACAAATGCCTAAGCTTACAAGTTGATCTCGAGCGGCTCGCGAGCTTTAAGTAATGCTTTCGAGTCGAACTCGAGTTTCAATATTTAAGCTCGATCGAGCTCGAGCCGAACTCGAGCATATAAAATATTTTCGAGCTCGAGTTCGAGCATATGTGAGTTCGGGCTCGGCTCGGCTCGTTTACACCCCTAGCGACGACTTGGCGACGCCAGACTCGACCGATTTTCTTCTGGCGAGGCGAGTGAAGCCGGCGAGCTTCCTTCAGCGCCTGGACGCCTAGTCGCCGACTAGGCGACGCCTAGGCGACGCCGTGACAACCATGGCATCAATGGCGCCAATATCCAGAAACATTAGACAGTATTGCATTAAAAAAATAAAAAGCAATTGTATTGTCACATGACTTCAAGATATACATAAAATTTGATCAACAATGTGATCTTTTATTTGTTGATTAATCGCTCCAAAGCCTTACACACCAAACACAACATAAGCAGACACTTAGTGATGCTTAGGAGCAAGTTTAGAACAACTTATTTCTATTTTTCATAACAAAATGAAAATTTTCGCCACAGGATCTTCTAAATGCAGAGCAACATATGATTTCTTTCATAAACACTCATGAGTAAAAAGGATATTAAAGGAAACATTAATAGATTATGCACAACTGACAAGAAGGAAAAGAAGTTGCTAAACATAAAAGACAAAGCTGGTGAGCAATCTGGATAACTTACAGGGGCACCTTCTTCCATTGCTCAACTGTTTCATTGCAAAACAAGTACATGAATTAGCAACACTCTTTGTATTTTGTAAAAAAGATTTTATGAAAATCATAAATAGCTTACTAGGCATGGGATCGGTTTGATTCTGGTAAAGATTTAGAAGAACAGTTTTAAAAACACAGTTGTTCAACCCTGAAATAATATTCTTATATTGTACTGCACCATAAGTAGAAAGAAATGTGTAAAATTTATAAGTAAAATAGGAGGATTGGAGTAGGACTATAAGAGTGAACACTAGTTGAGAATACTATCAGACTTTAGTGACTTCAAGCTAATAAACTATACAATGAAATCACAAGTTGAAAGTTTTTAAAAAGGGATGATATTTTACTCACAACCTCTTGATAATGACAATGATAAAAACAAATCACAGTTTCAACTGCAATTATACCATATTAGTTTCAAACAATGATAGAAAGATCAGAAAAAAATACTATTGACTAAGAACATAGTTCTTTCATCAATAACCTTTTTTAAGAACATATGACCTCATTGACATTGTTGTTTACTTATATTTATTTATTTACTTAATTTGTAACATCTTACATATTTACTCATTTTGTAAATTAATCATGATATATTTCTCTACAATTAAATTAAATCACAAGTGAATCTATAACTATCCAAACTGCTGAAAATATATATTACTCAGGAAATGAATGGGGGAATCTAGGACTACGGGAAGAACCATCTTAACAAAGTAATGAACTGGTAATATTAGGAGATTAGTATAAACATATAATAAAACAATCAACATTCATTCTGAGGTGGACTAAAATAACAAATACAAAGATCAGCGGTAGCAAAGTGGTGACTTTTCAGCTTTATCAATCTTCACACTAAAAACATCAAATTGTAGTTTTTACTTGTTTAATTCACAACAACGATCTAGGGAGGCAATCTAGGGAAATGCCAGAATTCAGAATTAACAATAACCTGAATTGTATCGAACTAAAGGCCTAAAGTTGAAGGCACACAAGTCACAATATTCATATTAAATCACAGATCACAATTCCTCAAACTAAAGGTGAGATAACCCTCAGATTTCAGAAATAGAGGCATAAAGCTGAACAATATAAAATATAACAAAAATAAAACTGAAAAGTAAAATACATACCTGGAAAATCGGAAGACCAACGACTCAGAGAGAAAGCGGGGGAATGCCGGAGGTAGCAGCCGCGCAGGAAGGGACTCGGGAGCGGGCGAGGGCACAGTCGCACGGGACAGTAGGGCACTGCGGTCTGCGAAATAAAGAATTGCAAGGACGAATCGGCCGATCCGAGCTTTCCGGCGAAGTGGTGAACGCCGACGGCGTGAGTGGCAGCAAGCCTCAACTTGTCTGCTTCGACAGTTCGACTCGCGGTGAAGAAGGACGAAGACGACCGTTGATTACTGATTTAGCGCTTCAGGTCTTCTGTGCTTCGCTTGGGCCGTCTTGTTTTATTTAGTGGTAATTACCGGACAAGTCGACTTTCATATGCCTTATATCATTTATATCCCAATTACGTTTTCTTTTCATTTTTAACTTTTAAAATTTCAACTTGATTTTCTTATTTCACTTTGAGCCAATTTTGCCGACCTTCTCAAAATTCATATATTCACCTTCTCACCGTAACATCCTTGGAACGAGGGTTAGTTTCCGTTCAGCCCCAAAACCCCACCACCTACTCGCCACACTCTTTCCCACCCTCCCAGCCGCAGAAACAATCGAGGAGGAAGTGCGGCTTAGATATGAAATCCCCAGCGTAACTCTGGCCGACGCATAAAAGATCACTGAATACTTAACGGACAAGCTCGGATTATTTGTTGCAATGATGGATCCGCCATCTCTAATCGCAGCTCTGACGGTTGTAATTGGGAGGTGCGTCCGCTCCTGATACTTCCCCTGTCGTGAAAGAGAAGAGAAAGTTGATCGATGGTCTACCTAGCAATTCTAGAATTCCGAGGATTACATTGGTAAGGTCATTGATAAACGTTGTTATGAAATCAAATCATATATTTCATTTTCATATATTTATCGTGCTTTTCACCTCCGCATTTCCATGCTTCATGAACTGTTAGAATTTAACAGACACATCATGGCTTCAAGACGCTTCACTAATCTTTGTTTTATAAGGAATGGAAGATTTAAAGTGATTAGAGGAGATAAAATTGAAGCACTTATGGTTTCCCTAAGGCAATTTCACTTCATTATTTGCATAATCCAGTGATTCCAGTATATTATGATGTCTCACTCTCATGTGAGTAATGCTCAATTAGTCCCAATTTGTGATGAAAATTCTAGAAATTTCATTTTGTTCCTCAGCTTTCTATTATATTGGAGATCAGTTATTTAAACACGGAGGAGCCTCATCCCCTCATTTTATCATTAAAAATTGAAAAACTCTGAATGCACCATTCATCGATTGTAATAGTGAATCACGCTATCATCTGCCTCATACTTTTAGATGCTCCTCCGCACAAGAGTAACACAATTAGACAGTCTTCTGAACCTTTGTTTCAGCTGGTCTAGACTTGCTGAAATTGAAGTTTTCTAGCTCAGCCAATGCACTGGAGCTATGTCCTTCAAGTCTACATAGTACCGAGTGTAATCATTTTTTTCTTGTGTTTTCTAACTGGAGTGCTATGGGGGGTTATTATATTTTTTTCTACTCCCTTTACGACCTTAAGGACTTGTCATTTATTTAATTACCCCTAGATGAGTGGAATGAGGAAAACTCTGATTTCATTGATAACTTGCCAATTTTGTAGGAGACAAATTTTAAAGTCTGCAATAACTATCTAGTGAGTATGAGCCTCCGAGTGGATAACTGATACTACGTATCAATTAGGACATTATAAAATTCAAAAAAAAAACTTGAGACCTTCCCCTTCAGAAACACTTTCAGAAACACTTTACTATTAGACCAGATAAGGACATTGACAAATAATGCTTGTCTACGAAATTGGTTGTTAAACTAGCGCTTCATACTTTTTTATTATTTTGTTTGCCACGTCATTTTGGATACATTTTAATTGTTGTATATGATCTGTATGTGTATATGCTCCTTGTAATATAACTGATTCTGGAATTATGTCGTGGTGATTGTCTTCTCATTGCAGGTGCATCAAAGAAAAAGAATTACATGAAGATGATGATAAGAATGTGAGTTTCACCGTGGAAAATGAAGACAGGTGAAATCTAAAGAATTATCGACTGAGATGCATGAAATGAAGAAGGAATGGGAATAACAAAGCCATATAAAATATATAATAAGAGTTTAATAGACACGTTGTAAATTGAAATAATAGTATCAATGATATATTTGTTGTGATACTTGAGATGTTTTTTTGTTTCCTTTTGTTGCACTGTACATATTACTTTTTGTTGCATTTTGTTGCTTATTGTTGCTTTTTGTTGCTTATTGTTGCATCATGTTGCTCATTGTTGCCTCTTGTTATTTTCTGTTGCACGATGTCGCTTTTTGTTGATCTTGATTTTTGTTGCTTATTTAGGTGTTTTTTTATTTTTGCTACTTTTTTGAAGTAAAAAACTCATGTATAGATTTATTATTCACCAAAAATGATAAATTTGGATTTATTAATATAAATCAATGACAGGAAACATAAATAAACAATAACAAACAAAAATTTAAGACTTATCAACAAAAGGAAACAAAAAAAACAATAGGTAATAAAAACACACAACAAAATTATTTACGGAGTAATAAGTATTGTTAAATATTGTAACTATTTAAAAAAATTGAATTAATAAGATTACTATTTTTAAATTTTTCAATGTTTGATTTATTTTTGTTTTACACGGATTTTATTGTCGAGATATATACTTTCATGCTTTTACGTTTTATAAAATTTTCTGCTTTTTAATTTTTATAAAGAATTTTCTATGTACATTTTATTTTAGACCTGTAGTTGCATTTAATTTGATTTTTTTAACATTTTCCAAGTTATATATTTTCAGTTTATATGCCTTTTACATATTTTTTAAAAGAATACATTAAAAGAATAGACTTTCCATTATTCTTTACAAATTTTCTCACTTTTAGCCATTTTAAATTTTTCGACAGTTTCTAGTTTTGAGATTTTTTTATTTGAGTTTTTCTATTTGTTAGTCTTTTAGTATTTTTCTTACTGTTTTCACCTTTTTTATTTTACTCTTCTTTTTAAAATTTTGTTATGTACTTACACTTTTAAAGAACAAATAAATGAGTAGTGGTGCACTTTCTAATAATTTGTCAATGAAGCATTGCTCAGACCGTGACATCCGTCATCGTACGCTGAGTTGCTAACCCACGCACACTTAAAAGAACCGAAGATTCAATCGCGTGTTTACCGTTTTATATAACTGGTTCATTTTTGAAAAGAAAAGTTAACTAGTCTATTTTTGAAATAAGCTTTAAAAGTTGAAAAAGGTGATATTATTTTTGGTTTTTGGTCCGCTTGCGTAAAATTCCCTATTTATTTAGGATCTCTGGACTCAAGCCCTTTTCTAGTACCACATTTTTAGTGTGAGGTTTATTTTATTACTCCCTTTCCCTAAATTTACCTTGAAAAAATGGGGGAAATAAGACTAAGGTGCTGTTCTGTTCGTCTTAATCTTATTATTTATTGCTTATTCTTATTTTATTCAGATCAGATCAGATCAGAAAAATTCAGATTAGATCAGATCAGATCAGAAAGATTCAGATCAGATCAGGAACATTCAGATCAGATCAGGAACATTCAGATTAGATCAGGAACATTCAGATCAGATCAGGAACATTCAGATCAGATTAGAAAAGTTCAGACATGATTTATCCTTTTTATTATAATAATAATTATAATAATATGTATAATAATTATAATAATTATAATTATTATTATTATTGTTGTTGTTATTGTAATTAGTATAATTAATATTATTGTTGATATTAATATTATTATTATTATTATTAGTATTATTATTATTGTTATTATTATTGTTATTATCATTGTTATTATTATTATTATTATTATTATTATTATTATTATTATTATTATTATTATTATTATTATTATTATTATTATTATTATTATTATTATTATTATTATTATTATTATTATTATTATTATTATTATTATTATTATTATTATTATTATTATTATTATTATTATTATTATTATTATTATTATTATTATTATTATTATTATTATAATATTGTTGTTGTTGTTGTTATTACTATTATTATTATTACTATGATTATTATTATGATATTTATAATTATCATGATTATTATTATTCTTACTGCTAATATGGTTGTTGTTGTTATTGTTATTAGTTTTGTTTTCGTTACTATCATATTATACGGAGTAATTACAATTAAAATTATAGAAATAAATATAACTATAAATATAATTACAATTATCATTATAGCTATATTTATAAATAGTGTAATACGTATAATAATAATTATACCTATTATAATTATGTTTGTAATTATAATTATAATTATTATAATTATGATTATAATTATAATAATAATTATATTTAAATTATATATGTGTAATTACATTTATAATTATAGTAATTATAATTGTAATTATAATTTTAGAAATATTTAAATCAGATCAGATCAGAAAAATTCAGATCAGATCAGATCAGAAGGATTCAAATCAGATCAGAAACATTCAGATCAGATCAGGAACATTCAGATCAGATCAGGAGCACTCAGATCAGATCAGGAACATTCAGATCAGATTAGGAAGATTCAGATCAGATCAGATCAGATCAGATCAGATCAGATCAGAAAAATTCAGATCAGATCAGAAGTTAAAAAATTCAGATCAGAAACATTCAGATCAGGTGAAAAGAACAGCTTCTAAGAAGCTGTTCTGTTCGTCTTAATCTTATTACTTATTGCTTATCCTTATTTTATTCAGATCAGATCAGATCAGATCAGAAAAATTCAGATCAGATCAGAAAGATTCATATCAGATCAGAATCATTCAGATCAGATCAGAAACATTCAGATCACATCAGGAACATTCAGATCAGATCAGAAAAGTTCAGACATGATTTATCCCTTTTATCATAATAATAATTATAATAATATTAATAATAATAATAATAATTATTATTATTATTAATTTATTATTATAATTCTTGTTGTTATTGTAATTACTATTATTATTGATATTATTATTATTATTATTATTAATTTATTATTATTATTCTTGTTTTTATTGTAATTATTATTATAATTACTATTATTATTGATATCATCATCATCATCATCATCATCATGACTACTATGATTATTGTTATTATTATTATGATATTTATTATTATCATGATTATTATTATTCTTATTACTATTATGGTTGTTGTTGTTATTGTTATTAGTATTTTTTTTGTTATTATTATTATATTACACGGAGTAATTACAATTAAAATTATAGAAATAAATATTATAATTATA